AGCTCTCGGAGGCGCCATGTCCAGCTTTGGTCTGTCGCATAACCTCGCTTGATCCATTCTAGCCTTAACATTATCCTTTGTCTTATCAGGAATGTCCATGATTGTACCAAAAATTGCCTCGTCGATATTCTTTTCAGTGTGCATTACATCAATGTTATGTGGAAGAAGAAGATGATCAAAATAGGGGAGGTTCCACAAGCATGACTTCTGAGTCTAGGCATGTTGCTTGCCATATCCCACAAAACCACCTTCTTGTTTATTGACCTTGACAGTGTCTAACTGAGCACGAACCATGGCTCCTGTCATCATCTACGGTGTAGGGTCTTTAACTACGACATCTTTCGTAAAGTTCTTGATGTCTAGTCTGAATGGATGGTTAGGAGGGAGGAATTGTCGATGTTTGTCGAACGAAGAATACTTGCCACCCTTCCTCAACCAAATGAACATCAGAGAAGCCTTGCATACTAGGCATGGGAACCTCCCGTGAACACACCAGCAGTAGAAAATCCCATATGCCGACAAGTCATGCAGGGAGTACTGGTACCAAACATACATTTTGAAGTTTGTCTTTGTAGCTCGGTCGTATGTCCATACCCCTTCCTCCCAAGCACGGACCAAATCATCAATCAGAGGCTCCATGTACACACTTATATTATTCCCCGGGTGTTCTAGAATTATCAACGACAAGAATATGTTCTATCATCGAAAGAGGACGCCAGGGGGGAGATTGAGGGGGATAACGAACATGGGCCAATAGGTGTACGGGGCAGCCGCCATTCCATAAGGATTGAACCCATCTGTTGCCAGCGCAACACGTACATTACGAGCCTCTAGAGCTTTCTCACGATGAATCTCATCAAACCTTGTCCAGGCTTCACCATCGGATGGATGTACCATCTTCTCAGGATTGTATCGACGTCCATTTTTGTGCCATGTCATCTGTTTCGTGGATTCCTCAGTCATGTAAAGCCGTTGGATCCTCGGTATGAAAGGAAGGTACCGTAGGATCTTCACGGGGATTGCGAGTTGCCTCTTTTGACCATCACCAGAGTCTACCTCTAGGAACCTAGACGATTCGCACTTCACACAGTACTTTTCTTCCGCATACTCTTTCTTAAATAAGATCCACCCCTTCGGACAAGCATGTATCTACTCGTATGGCATCTTAAGTGCACGAAGGAGTTTCTGTGCCTCATACATGCTCTTTGGCAAGATGTGACCATCCGGGAGCAGGCTGCCAACAACTGTGAGCATAACATCGAAGGCGTCTCGACTCAAGCTAAACTAGGACTTCACGGCCATTAGGCGTGCAATGGCATCCAGTTGAGAAACCTTGGAATACCCGTGAAGGGGTTGCTGTGCCGCAGACAACATGTCGTAATATGCCTTTGCGGTAGCCTCTGGCTCCTCCTCCCTACGTCCTTCATCGAAGTGTGCTTCAGGATAGTCATTTAACATGTCTCCTACCCTGGCATCCCCATCATATTCCTCGATGCGTTGTCTCACGACCTTGTCTCTCCCACGATCGGCTTCACCATGGTAGATCCACCTGGTATAGTCTGCCGTAAATCCATTCTTGCAAAGATGTTTACCCATGACCAGCTTGGTTTGCCGACGCGTGTTTGCACATTTGCTGTAGGGACACCAAGTGACACTAGCTCCTTTAACCCTTGCAAATGCCCGTTCCAAGAAAGCATCGGTCTTGTCAATCCATTCTTCGGTCAATGAACTCTGGCTAGAGCGGCCCGTGTACATCCACTCATGGTCATCCATCCTCTAGCTTATCAGCGAGTAATATAAAAATTCACGTTGCATCTACACATTCCTATACTATCTAATAGGTGAAGATAGGTCCTAATCCCATCCGAGGATGTATAGATATGGTTAGTTTCCATGCTCTACTCCTATCCGAGACAGAATTTCGGCAGCACCTCCCTGTTGTTCTCCAAATACACGTCTTGGAAGGGAGATGGTGTATCCGGAGAACAACAGGGAGATGCTACCGAAACTCTATCACGGATCAGAGTAGAGCATGGAAACTAACCGCATCTATACATCCTCGGGCTGTCCAAAAAACGTGGACAATTCGAAACAGATACGGTTATAGATATGCAAATATCTGCATATTTCCAACCGTATCTTTTTCGAACGGGAGACGTCTAGCTAGGTTACGTGATATACGAACATGATATGGAAAGAAGGGTCTTTTATGCCTCACCTTGCTATCCTGCAAAGTGACGAGTCGAGGACGTTGCAAAAGCCTCTCCTGCAATAAAAGGAACATAATAGTGTCAAATCTAAATTTCGGCAGCACCTCCCCTGCACGGGGAGGTTTCCAAAACTTGCAACAAATAAAACGGCACAATGACCGATAACCACGTGCACTCGGCATTGAAGGTTGTTCATTGCAAATACTAATAAGTATCTTAAAGTCCAGATACCACCAGAAACCAGAAAAAAATGTGCTAGTTCTAAGACTGGCACAATACAAATTCAGTAATTCAAAATGTCAAAGCAATCATAATGTAGTTACTACTATTTATTTTCAGTGATGTCTCAAGAAACTTCATTTGCCATGAAGGAGAAAAGCTTAGAGTGTTTGCTTTCAGTTCTAAACATTGGGCTTCTCTGCACTAAGGCATCCCCAAATGAGCGCATCTGCATGCAGGAAGTGGCTGCAAGGTTGCACGAAATCAAGAAGGCATTTCCAAGAGAAAACTAAGGTAATATAAACAACGTCCTCTATACTTTGATAAGGTATATACTTTAAAAATTGTTCTAGATGTACCTCACTCTTTTTTCCCCCTCTTCCAGGTTTTGTCACTTTTACCCTAGTGGCTACTGCTGACATAATAAAGCTTATCTTCTTGCACCATAACGGCAGTTCAAGAAGGAAAAAAAAACGTCACACTAGCATGCAAGTTCTTGAATTTCTCGTGTTTGCTTTCTGAAAAGAAGGGATTTGTTGTACTGTTGCCAAACCGTTGTGTGATAAAGCTTCTACCCATGGAGTTAAGTTTCATGAATCTATCACCACCTTAATGGCTGCCTGAAACGATCACTCCAGAATTTCTGAGGCTTCAGTTCAATCATTCTGCAATAAGCTGACACAGAATAAGCAGTAGGGCAAATTAAGATCGAACTTGGCTGACCAGACACACTGAATAAAACAGCAGGGCGACCTAGGGGAGATTCACTCTAGATTTCATTGTCACAGATGCACACATGCTAATACAGCATTCCAGATGATATTTTACTTGCAGCATCGCCACTAAATATGCTATGCTCAATAAATAGTAGTAACAACCTCATGTTTCACCAAAATTAGTGAAACTTGGGATCTTATCACCATATAGGCAAGATTCATTCTTGGTTTTCATGCTTAGAGATGCATATACATGATTACAGGATTACTTGAGACATCACTGAATTCATGGTTACTACAATGTCAAAGACAAACACATTGATTTTCGCCCTCTGGATTTTGAGGGAAGAAAGAAAGATGCTGGACAAGCAATGACATAGGGAGGTAACTCAAGAACCATCAGAAGCCATTAGATTTGACCTCAAATGAAATTCAGTCCGCATCATAAATTCAGTCCGCCATCAGAAGCCATTAGATTCAACATAAGGAGGAGAGAGGAAGGGCTCACCGGTTCTTGGGACGAGGCAAGGCGGCCAGGTGGGGGCAGTCACGGAGCAAGGGTGGAGATCGAGCAGGTGGCTACCCGGCGAGGGGGCGGCTAGGTGAGGGGGACAACCCAGCGGCGGCCGCTGGGAGGCAGGGGTGCCGGGTGGCCGGGTCGCCGTGCGGCGGTGGGAGGGGCGTCACGCCGGGGGCCGGGCCGGGAGTCGCGCCGGGGGCCGGGAGTGGTCCGGCGGCGGAGGGTGGCGGCCCGACGGCCGAGGGTGGTCCGGCGGCGCGGGGTGGTGGGTGGCGCTCCGGCAGCACGAAGGGCGGTCCGGTGTGCGTGTGTGTGCGGGTGAGTGTGTGTGAGTAAGTGTGCGGCTGGATCTGATAAAAACCAAAGGGCTTTGCCGAGTGCCCGCGATTTAGCACTCGGCAAAGTAAAGGTATGCTGAGTGCCAGATTCAAAACACTCGACATTGTTTTTTTCAATTTCCCAACCGGTACGGTACTGGTAAGTGGGGCAGGCTTGGGTATGTTGCCGAGTGTCCACTATATGACACTCGGCAACTATATTGTTTGCCGAGTGTCGTACAGTTAACACTCGGCAAAATAAATTGATATTTCATGCCCACTATATGACACTCGGCAACTTTATTGTATGTGGAGAGTAGAAAAAATTTGGAGGGCAGGAGAGGAAAAAAATTATTATTTTGCTGAGTGCCAATAAAAAACACTCGGCAACAATATCATTTTGCCGAGTTTCAAAAAAAACACTCGGCAAAAATATCAGTTTGCCGAGTGTCAATAAAAAACACTCGGCAAACCTTGTCTTTGCCGAGTGTCTCTAACGGACACTCGGTAAAGTTATAACGGCAGGGCGGCGCACCCAACGGCCATCACATGGCCGCCGCACGCCCAGCGCACGTACCTCTACTTTGCCAAGTGTCCGTGTTTGCCGAGTGTTTCGTTGTAGTTTGCCGAGTGTTTTTTATTCGACAGTCGGCAAAGTTGGATTTTGTCGAGTGCTATATGTTTGCCGAGTGTTGAATTAAAAACACTCGGTAAATAGGATGTTTGCCGAGTGCCCGATGGAATGCACTCGGCAAACCCTCTGGCACTCGGTAATTCTACTGTTTCCGGTAGTGAAATCCGACAGTGATGGGGTGTTTTGAACCGGACGTAGTGTAACATCTGGTTAGCCTTGGAACCCTTTGGGGTAATCCTTTTGTTTAATTCAAAGCCGCCGGAGGATTATGCCCCACGGTTTCAGTTCAAAAAACTTGCCCGATCTATATATATTCTCCCATCATCACTACTCATCAGTCATCAAGTAAGAAGGAAAAAAGCACGACGTTTTGTCGAAAACAAAATGGCTGCTAAGATGTCTCTCCTCGCATTCATGATCTTCTCCTTCCATCTTGCACCTCGGGCCTATGCGGAGCGCCAGGGTTTTCGTGCCACCATGATCCGCTGTACTGACACCACCGCCAGCTTCAAACAGGCCGCTCGACAGTCCCACCACCGGCTGTCAATGCTTTCCTCCAGGCTAGACAAGGCCTCAAGCCACGCGAACGCCGAGACACCCCTGAGGATGGAGGGTGGTGGTGGCGCCTACGACATGGAGCTCTCCATCGGCACGCCGCCGCAGAAGCTGACAGCCCTGGCCGACACCGGAAGCGACCTCATCTGGACCAAGTGTGGCCCGTGCGCATCCTGCACGCCGCAGGGCTCCCCGTCCTACTACCCCAACATGTCGTCCACTTTCTCCAAGCTCCCGTGCTCCGACCGACTCTGCGCCGCCCTGCAGTCCGAGTCCTCCGCCGCAAACTGCAGCGACGGCGGCCCCGAGTGTGACTGCCGGTACTCCTACGGCGTGGAGCGAGACCTTCACCACTACACGCAGGGGTTCCTCGGGAGCGAGACTTTGGCTTTGGCAGAGGACGATTACGGCCGCAGCTCCGGCCTCGTCGGGCTCGGCCGCGGGCAGCTGTCCCTCGTCTCGCAGCTCAACGCCGGCACCTTCTCGTACTGCCTCACCAGTAACGCCTCCAAGGCCAGCCCTCTCCTGTTCGGCTCACTGGCAAACTTGACGGGCTCCGGCGTGCAGTCCACTCGGCTCCTCCCGTACAGGTACAGCATCTTCTACGCAGTGAACCTGCAGAACATCTCGATCGTCTCGGCGACGACGCCTGGTCCTGGAGCCGACGGCGTCGTGTTCGATTCAGGCACGACGGTGACGTTCCTCGCGGAGCCGGCATACACTCTGGCGAAGGCGGCGGTGCTGCCGCAGGTGAATCTTACGCGGGCGGCGGACAGGGACGGGTTCGAGGCGTGCTACGAGAATCCTGGCAACGGCAGCGTCATGGAGGAGGCCGTCCCGTCGATGGTGCTGAATTTCGACGGCGCTGACATGGTCTCCCGGTGGCGAACTACTTCTTTGACGTGGACGACGGCGTAGGTAACGTCATGCAGATGAACTATCATGTCCTGCATGATGTCGACAATTCGGTTCTCTCATTCCAGCCAGCCAACTGCGATAGATTCTGAGGGAATCACCGAGCAAGCTCGGTTGGCTCTACCATTTTTCTTTGGTTCCCGGTTCTGCAAGATGCAATTTAGAGTAAAATTCACAAGCATTCCTCAAGGTTGGCACTTGGTTGAGAGTTTTATTATCCAGCTTCTCTAACTTAGAAAATACTATTTTCGGATTGGCAACGCATATCATTCCAGTCTTAACGGGTCCTGCCCCACCCTGCACGACATGGCATGCTAACCGGCCATGTGCATGGTACCCACAGGTTGCATCCATCTCTCTATTATCTTTTTTCATCTCTGTCTCACACCGCCTGTCCGCCATGCTATATATATTATATTGCCCATGCTAACGCTACGGACCACGTTAAGTTCAAAGTTACTTGAGGTTATGCTATGTTTAATGCAATAGTGCTTATATAGAAAAGATCAAGCTCGGAGCTAGCAAGTAAAACAAGCATTTATCAATTATATGATTTCAAAAAAAGAAACAAGTTAATTTATTAAAGTAGTTCATGGTAAGATCTTGCACTTAAATCAGTTAAGTCACTTCATTATAGCTATCATGATTATTGTGAATTTGCTTATACGGAAAAGATCAAGCTCGAAGATAGCTAGCAAGTAAAACAAGCGTTGACCAATTATGTCACTGCCATCTCTGGGACATCTATATCCTTTAGCAAATAGTTTAGACAAAATCAGAACTGCATAAAAAATCACAACAGAGTGGAACTCCCCGTTGAAACAAGCCATTGTCACCACATGATTCATTAGGCTGGGTTCAATTAAGAGAATGAAAAGAGTATACATACCAGAGTGGCGCCAAGCAACTTGCAGCACCCTGCCGCCGCCTAAGTTCATCTGAACTGGCTGCCCTGACATCTGCTTGGACATGTGTGCCGTCTGTCCCACATTCATCTTGCCCACCGGATAGTTCCAATGTATCGCCTTCATCATCCGATGATGAAACGCAGCTGAGCGCATCAACCAAAAAACAAGGATAAAGCATGATCAGATTTTTAATGACAACCCATACTAATATAGCATTTGTTTACTGAGGAGGTGTCAAATATATTCAAAATTGAACCTCACTGAACAATTCCCAATATTTCTGTCATCTAAAAAAGATCTAATCCTTCTGTTTCCTACCCAAAGCGCCGGTTAAACCACAAAGCAAACCCTAAATACAACCTACTAGGCAATAAATCTAATACCTTGACCGTGAATGGGCGGCCATGCCCTGGCAACCAAGCACAAGACGGGGAAGTCATCAGTTCACAGGGAAAGAAGCCTACCAAGACAAGATCGAGGTGGGGTGATAGGGGGAGGGGAACGAACCTGAAGAGGTTGCAGCCCCATGCAGCCTTGCCCGGTGGCGGCCCGTGCGGCCCGGAGATGAGGAACGTAGTCCACCTGGTGCCCTGTTCATCCTCCACGAGCTGCGAGGGCCCTTCCCCCGCCCGCCTGGCTAACCCGGGTGTTGTCCATTCGACCGACCCGTCTAGCCCAAACCGACACGGGGTCCTCATGAGAGTGCCATCCGCATCTCCTCTTCAGGAAATTTTATGGTTGAGTTAAACCACACGAGCCATTTATCAAGCGAATCGCATATCACGATCATTACACAAGGAACGTTGTTCACTAAGTCAGAATAGCACTTCACTGCCGGTTCAAAATACCCCATCACTGCCGGATTTTGAATCGGCACAACCATACCAGCAGTGACGAGGGTCAGCTATCACCGTCGGTTCCTACAAATCGGCAGTGTTCTTCAACTTCACTGCCGGTTCTTTACACAACCGGCAGAGTTCAGGTCCACCAACACTGCCGGTTCATTAGACCGCCCAGCAGAGTTCAGTTCCACCAACACTGTCGGTTTGTGTTTTAACTGGCAGTGTTATCATAACGAGGACTGCCGGTTTGTGACAAGAACCGGCAGTGATGGATAAGATAACGCTGCCGATTTATGGCTCAAGCCGCCAGTGCCATCTTGGCCATCACTACCGGTTTGTTGCTAACCGGCAGTGAAGGTTACGACAACACTGTTGGTTTGTATCTAACCGGCAGTAATGGTTACGACAACACTGTCGGTTTGTTGCTAACCGGCAGTGATGGCCCATTCGCATTTTATTGTTTTATAATTTATTTTAATTTATATTTTTTCATGGAATCGGGTTTTATGGGGGGTATGACCCCGGATACCCACGGCAGACCACATGGGCTGCGCCCCTATTGGTGGTCCAGCCCACAAGACGAAGCCTTGCAGGGCACGATGCTGCTAAGCGTCTCTCGCAAGACACTGGAATGATATCCTGAAGATACTACGAGATCTATTAGGATATGTATGATCCCATGATTCCTGTAATATGTTATTACTTTCTGGTTATCTCTGAGATCTAACCGACTTGTAACCTTGCTCTCCGAACTATATAAGGCGGGTAGGGACCCCCCTCCAAACTCACGCCATATCATACGATAGCCAATACAATCCAACAGACCACAGGAGTAGGGTATTACGTCATACTGATGGCTTAAACCTGTCTAACTCGTGTGTCTCTGTTGCCTTCTTGTTCTTGATTACACGCCTCTCTGCCGATCAATCTACCTTCGTGGGATACCCCTCGGAGGACTGCCGACGATATTCTATCGACAGTTGGCGCGCTAGGTAGGGGTGTGCGTGTTGTTTCTATATCGAACAAGATGGTACGTTCTGCAAGCTCTTCATCCCTCCCGCAGCCTGGCCAGATCTTCATGGTCGGATCGATCTCGTGGATCATCAACGCTGACAGAGTCGGAGAGCTCATCGAGCCGGTGCAGATCAATTCTGCACCGATCACCCCAACACCTACGACTGCAGATCCGATCTCGGAACCGCCTCCGAGGTCGCCCTCATCGACAACTCACCGCCCGCTTCCTCGCAACCAGAGGAGGTAGATCAACAACAACGATATGATCACATCCATCGATCGGGTTGGTCAGAAGCTCGCTGATTGCCTCTCCATCGCCGAATCGGCTTTGGACACTCTCGTTCAGCGCCGACCACCCTTCGATCCAGATCTATCGGAGGCTGCTCGGGTAACTCTGGGGGTTATGGCCCTACCCTTCGGGCTCAGCAACGTCGCCGCCACCTACCAAGATGCCCTTAGGGGCAAATTTGTCGACCAGGTTGGAGAAGTCCATCCTCTCACCGACCAGCCTCCGCCGGCCATCAACATGCTACACGTCGGCCGATGCCCCAGAGCATCCCTCCAAACCAACCTAGAGGTGAATCCGGACTCCAAGTCCTAGGGCTCTACGGAGACAATTGCCGAAACCACCACCGAACTACTTCCTCTCCCACCTTTCCATGGAGCCGTAATCTTCAATGTCAGTGTCGATAGCCCCCTGCGGGAAGGGGAAACTAAGGAGGAATGCGTCGCTCGCATCAATAGGAACGTCAACAGTGCGTAGCGCCGAGCAAACGAGGCTGCCCTTGCGATGGCTGAGGCTCAGCTTGACTCGCAAGGAAGGCCACTCCAACGCAACCTCGATGACGAGTTTGTCCATGTTGACGGCCACGACGTCTAGAAGACTCCAAGCGCCAATCTGGCAGTGGCCGCCAATGAGCTCGCCCGGCTCCCACAGACACCAGAGGTCACCAAGGTCGCCACCATGCTTAAAGTGGCGCACTGTCAGGTCAATGAGACCTGTCAGGATCAGCGACCTTCATACTCCACAACCTCGATTCGCTGATCAGCCGTGCCCAGATCCGATCTCCGCCCAAGTCACTTCACCGACCAGCTCCGCGATGACAGACAACCCCTCCAGGGGAGCTATGGGCAACCGCATCGAACATCACCACCAACACAACCAGGAGGTCGACCAGGACGTCCGAGTGCACCTCAATAATTTCTGAGATGCATGACGATATATCGACGAGCGCCGCATCGATCGCCATGAAGAAGAAGTACGCTGCCGCCAAGAGTACGAGCAAGAGTACGGTAACCCAGACTTAGCTCTCGAGCCGCTCAACGCCGGCAACGCTACAGACCATGGCGCCAACAACCCAAAGGGCCTCTAGCTTTCACGAGGGCTCTCCGAACACTCCAATGGCCCCGTGGTTTCAAAATCACTAAGGTTAAGCCCTATGAGGGAAGGATGAACCCCACACAGTGGCTATAAGCTTATGCCACTGCTGTGCGTGCCGCTAGAGGAGATACTAGTGTCATGGCAATTTATCTTCCCATCATGCTCATGCCAACCGCCATGAACTGGTTCACAAGGCTTGCCCCGGACTCCATCGGATCCTAGGAAGAGCTGAAAAAGTCTTCACCGACAACTATATGGCACCAAGCATGATCGGAACCGCATCTACCAGAAGCCGTCCAAGCTCCTCCGTAGCTACATCAGATGCTTTTCTGAGATGAGGAATTCTATTCGCAACATCACGGAAGCTGAGGTCATCACCGCCTTCATCCGAGGACTCCATCACCGTGAGCTTCGCTCCAAGTTCAACCGCAAGCCACCCACAGGGATTGGCGAGATGATCACGACTGTCAACCAGTACGCCGACGCCTAGGAAGCCGAGGTGCGCTTCAACGAGGATGTGGGCACTCATCGCCCAACTCGCCAGAGCGACAATCGCCCCGACGACTAGCGCCACAGCGACCACAGCTACGACGACCGCAGTCATCATCGGGACAGTGGCCGTGATCGGCTAGAAGGCTCCAAGTCTGGTCAATATCGCCGCCGCTGACCAGACCATATCATCGCCGCTGTTGATGAGCCTCGAGCCAAGCGCAACTATGATGAGCAGTACAAGAAGATCCTCAACGGCTCGTGCCCTCTCCACAAGAAGACCAAGCATAAGATGAAGGGCTGCCTTGGCTTGGCTAAGGAATTCTAGGCCAAAAAGCTGGACGACGACAACAACGACGACACTAGAGT